GCCCTCACCGGCAGCCGCGACCCCCGCGCTACCCCACCACAATGGCGGCCCCGCGCCGTCGCTACCGCGCCTGCGAGACCCGGATGTAGGCGGGACTTACAGCACAGGCTGGCCAATCAGCTTTCAGGAAGTCTGACAGACAGCAGGAATATCCTATCAGAGTGCGGAGGGGGCGGGGGCGAGATTGAGGGCGGAAAAGGGGAGGAAGTTTAGTCTGGCACACATTTCCGGTCTGGTGTCCCGCTTTCCCGCCCTTCGCTGCTTCTGATTGGCGGAGAGGGGCGGCCGTGACAGCGCAGCGCCGTCTCTGATTGGACAGCGCCTGGCGCAGCTCACTCCTCGCTGCTGTAGGGGGCGCTCCGGGCCGGGTCGTCTCCCCCCCCTCCCGAAGGGTGGTAGGGGCGGGGGAGGCCCTCAGGGGGACATGTTGGGTTTATCCCGGACACATCCCGGTAATGTCCCTTGTGGAGCAGTGCGGGGACATCCCCCACGGGGCCTGGACATCTCCTCAGTTGGGCTGAGCCCATCTCAGCCAGCTCCCGTGCCCCTGGCAGGCAGGGGGATGCTGCACCTCAGTGATGCCGCACCCCCACTGCCCCCATGGCCACTCTATGGCCCCTAATCCCCCAGCAGTAGCCACCCACCTCGTTGTCCCCTTCCTGCCTCTCTCCAGGAGCATAGGTGCCCCCGAACACTCAGTGTTTGCCCAACATCTGTGAAAATGTGAGGTGCAGCTCATTGTAGGTGGTTTCAATGTGTTGCTGGGGCTGCTCAGCAGCCGGGCAGGCTCTTGCCTTAGGGTTTTGCCAGGGTAGGGGCTCCCATGAGGAGAAGGGTTTGTTCTGGAGGGATATTGGATGGGGCTGAGCAGGGGTGATTGGGTGGCAGGCGGCGGCGTTGCTGCCCAGCAATTTATTCCCTGATGGAGATGCTCCTTCTAGCCCTGTGGTCCCCCATATGGTGGGAATAGAGAGGTCCAGTCCTTCCCAAAACCTTTCAAGCCAAGGCTGTGGCACTTTCCATGGGGATGGACAAGCACAGGGCATCCCCACATCTGACCTCAGTGACCTGCAAAGCCACTGCTTATCCCACCTTAGCCCTGTGGGAAAATCACGGCGGATTAAGAGGCTCCCAAACCAGGCTCCCCTGGCCCCCCAACCCCGTGTGCTCAGGGTACAGGACATCCACGTGACAGCAGGAATGTGGGAACACAATCCAGGCCTTGAGAAACATCCCGGCTGTGGGCAGAGGCTGGAGAGCAGAGGCAGCATTTTTAGCGGATGCAGGGGCTGTGCTGAGGGCAAGGATCAGTGGAGCAGCTCCAGGAGAATTTGGAATACATGGGTCAAACCAAGGAGAAGGCCCTTGATGACAGTTCTGCTCCAGCTGGGAGCTGTGAGGGGCACACAGGCACCTCAAGACTGCTTGAGGTGACAAACCCAAACCTGGAGTAGTTGTGCCCAGCACCTGGAAGCTTCCCTGCTCTCCACAAATAGAAACATAAGCAGCTTTGGCCACGCATTGTCTCCAGCCTCACACTGCCCATGGATCACTCGTCTTTCCCTGCCCAGCAGGAATGTGTCTCCTTCCTCAAAACACGTGCCACCCTCTCTGGGCAGTGCCTTGCTCCAGCCTGTCCCCAAGCTCTTCAAACCAAGTGAGAGATTTTGTGTTAAAGCTTATTTGCCACACAAAGGAAACGTGACTGGCCCAGGGGATTTCTGAACCCAGACTGGTTCACGTAACTCCAAGTGGGATGATCCTGTTATATACACAGTGCTGGGCTGATGGGGAACACTCCAGTGTGTGAGAATTGGTGAGGAAAAGGAAGTGTGGAGTAGAAAAACATTTTAAAACCTTCATCTTCTTCCACAGAAAGGAGAGGGATAGGGAAAAAAAACCACAAGAAGAGAGGTAGAGTGTGCCAGTGTACACTGTATTTTCACTCCGTGGCAGGGAGACGCAGGGTAAAGACTGTGCTAAGCAGTGACACCCCCAGAGTGAGCTGGGATGCTGAGTCCTTTTGTCCCCTCTCAGCCCTTTCCCCTCAAGCCACTTCATTTGCAGCCATTTATTAAAAGCTCGTGTTAGTAAGAGCCTCTGCTGCCGGGTGAGAGCATTACACCGGGCTCTGCAGCACAACTTGGCATTCCTAACAGATGTCTGAGTCCTAAAAGGTGCCTGAAAACCCCAGATCTGTGGGAAGTTACCATCACACAGCATCCTCCTGCCAGCCACTCACGCTCTCCCACGCTCATTTATGGGCACTTAAATTATCTGGGGATGAAACAACATGGAAAATGCTCCAGTTGTAAGGAGAGGTTGGGGCTGTCCCTGACCTGGACCCCACAGTGGTCACCTGCCAGCCAGCCAGGTCTCAGCATGGACAATCTCCTCAGGGAGGGCTCATCAGTGCAGGGTTTGGTTTTTATTGACCATCACCATCATCCTTTGCTCCAAGGAGTCTGCCTGGAGTCTTGCTGCTGGTGTTCCCATAGGAGATAGCACAGAGAACTCAGTGTCCTGTGACTGATGGGATGTTGGGGGCTGCAGCACCAGAGGGACTGGAAACACCCTGTGGTGCCAGGATGTCTGGAAGAGCAGTGGGGAAACCATGCTGTTCTGCCCCCTTCTCATCTCAGTGGTGCCTCAGGGAGCTGTGAGACCTGTCGAGACTTCTCTGAGCAGCTTCCAGCTGTCCGACCACATCATCCAAAAGTGTTTGGGGAGCAGATCCTGGTCCATGAGCACCTCCTCTGCTGTGCAGGGCCCAGGATCTTGAGCCACAAGAAAAGCCTGGATGCTCTGTTAGTGCAGCCCCTCCCTGCAAGGTACTGAAACAGCCACGTTCACGCTCCACTTGCTCTGTGGGCTTGGAACTGCCCCTCCTCGCAGGCTAGTCCTCCTTCTCCCGCCGCAGGTCCCGTCTGGATTTGAAGAAGTCACTCCGCAGCAGGCGGTAGAAGAGGATGATGTTCATGGGTGTCATGATTGCCATGCCCACCGTGCCCACGGCGTAGGTGGCCGGGGGCACGTTCTGGCGATTGAGGAAGAGCCAGCGGGTCATCCAGGCCAGCGTGGCAATGCGGAACACCACGTAGGTGCCCAGGTTGATGAGGCTGTTGAGGCGGTAGCAGGTGGTGTGCACCAGGTTGGCCATGAGCAGGATCTGCCGCAGGTGGAGGAAGATGGAGTTGATCTCCACCAGTAAAGCCACGAGGGCAAAGCCAACGTACTGGTGGAGCAGCACAGCAATACCAAAGCAGATGATCACCTGGGAAGGAGGGAGAAGAGAGGCTGAGCCCAGGGGCTGGTTGCTCTCAGTTGCTGCAGGCTGGAACCCTCCACACTTGGGCACAGCGTGGAGCAGAGGTGGAAAGGATCATCACAGCAGTGCCAAACCACCGGTCATCCCTGCAGCATTGAAGCCTATGGCACCTCCTCACCATTGCATGAAACCTGAGTGGGTTTTTTTTGTTCCAGTGGGAAGAGAAGGAAACAGCTCTCTAAGCCCCAGGTTGGCTGAGGAGACAAAGCAGCCTGACCTAACCCTGCTGTTGTGGCCTGGGAAATGCAGCCGTTTGTGGCCCAGCAGGTTTTTCCAAACACAGTGAATGGACAGGAAGGGAGACTGTAGCCCAGGGCTATGGCTGCTGCTGGCTCAGGGATTCTCTCCAGAACATGCACCCTGCAGGGATTAGGTGGCTTTGGTGTATCAGAGAGCCCCCTGAAGCACCCTGGGGCTGCTGGGTGCTGCAGGAGAGGAAGGGGCTGTTTGGGACAGGATTCCTGCCCCACACCCTCCCTGCCAGGCAGAGGGACAGGCTCTGCCTGCCCACGCTTCAGCACACTCAGTCCTTTCTTTGGTTTATGCCATTAATGCTGTTCTCTGTATGGGCTCTGTAATGAGATTATCTGCTCCCTGCTCGTTAAGTCACTGTCTTGGCTTGAATTAGTTCTATTGTGGAGATGAACTTTTGGCTCACTAGCAGCAGCCAGCAGAGCCCCAGGGCTCACTGACAGCAGGTCTGAACACCCCATCTCATCCCAGGTGAGTGCCAGCACTGTCCCTGTCCCCCTCCCCAGATCCTGCACACCCTTGAGCCTCCTCTGAACCCTGCAGCATCTCCGCTGCTCTGCTCCAGGCTGTGCCACCCCCCTGCCCTGCAGCACCCACAGTCTCAGCATCACAGAATTGTTTTGGTTGGGAAAAACACTCCAGCACCTGGACATCAGAGGTGATCAGAGAGAAACCCACAGAAATCTCAGCAAGACAGGCAGAATGCACTGGAGCGGGGTCCTGCATCACAGCTGCTCCTGGCACACCAGCCACAGGTGGGAGGAAAGCACCCTGGGGAGTGGGAGGTGGATGGAGGGGGTGTGCAGGTGCTCAGGAGGGCAAGAGCCACAGGAGGTGAGCTGTTCACCTGTGCCAGAGGGGACTCTGGGGTCACTGCTGTCAGTGACACTATTGTGGATCAGCCCAGCCCTCTGCCCTCATACTCCATGTGCACATGGTGTTTTCCTAGCCCATTTCTGGATGCCTTTCTGTAGACCATCTATGAGTACAGAGTCCTGCAGGACCAAGAGGAGCTTCAGGCCCTGCTGTCTGGGCTCCTCTCCCCAGGAAATAAAATCAGACTTAATAACAAGCAGCAAACACCCACACAAAGAACAGTGGGAGCCTCACTCGTGTCCCCCATCCCCAGCCTCCCTGCTGGTACCTGTGCTGTGCACTCACCACAGAGTGATGAAAGAGCAGCTCCCAGGACTGATGAAGTTTCTGATTGCACAACATGTCCACAAAGTCTTCAAGGAAATAGCCTGGGATTGGAGAGTCCATGAACAAAAAGGCTATCAGGAACGGTTATGCCAATGAATCCCCCCTGCCCCAGTGGGCTCTGCACCTAACTGGGCTGGGCAGCCCCCCCAGGGAAGTGATGGTCACATCTGTGTGGGTGGGGAGTCACACACAGCAAAAGAAGGAAATTGGTGTGGTTTGGATCCCTCTTGCAATCACTTTGTAGGACGTGCTTCCAGGAAGAGGCACCAACTAACTCCACCAACCCCATGTGGGCACTTTTGGGACGCCCCAAGCCCCAGCTCCCCCCGAGGACGGTGGAGGGCAGCCCGGTGCCCAGTATCTCCTGGCTGCGGGTGCCGTGGGACAGAAAGGAGCCACTGTCCTTTGCCAAGAATAGGGCGATTGTTTGAGGTGCCTGAGACATCGCGACATGGCTCGAGGGGCTGGTGTCAGGCACCGACGAGCCCGTGAAGACCCCCCGGGGGACAGAGCAGGGGACAGTCCATCGCCACACCTCACCTACAGACACGGCCACCAGGCTGTGCGCCCCGGGCGGGTGTGTGCCCACCAGGTCGTTGGACATCTCGGGGTGGAGGTAGAACCTGCAGGGAGAGAGGTTGTGAGTGTCGGGCATTTCCCTCCCGGTGCCCTCAGTACCCACCTGGTGCTGCCGACCCTCCCCGGAGACCTCCTGTTGTCCAGCTGCACCCACAGCCACCCCTCTCCTCCTGTTTTCCCCATTCCCTGGTGCCTCCCTGCCCCTCGGACCTTCCTCCCTCTCTCAGTGCCCCCCAGTCTGCAGCTCCTCACATTCCCCAGGGTCCCCAACACCCCCATTTCCTTTAGTGCCCCCTTGGCCGCAGGTTCCCGTCGGGGTCCCTCGACGTCCCCGTTCCCTCCCAGTGTCCCGGTGTCCCCGCGGGGCTCCGCGGTGCCGCTCACCCGGCCAGCGCCCCGCCGCCGCTGAGCACGCTGTGTGCCAGCGATGTCCAGATGTT